ATGTATTCAAGGTGTTTGAAATGGGTTTTGATCAATTTTGGGTATTTTGGCAAAATTTGGGAATATTAGCCAAATTTGGGTACCAGGGGCAGTTAGGTAATTTGGAGGTGCCTAGGGGCAAAATACCAAGTTAAGCATTTCAGATAGAATTGGATAGATATCCATTCTAAATGAACCATGGATTAATGCATTGTGAAGATATGGTGTATCCTAGTTCCAAGTCAACACCCAGGGTCGACCCTACAGCCAAGTAATCCTATAGGGACTCTTCTTGAACTCTTTTATAATGATCTTACCTACTAAATGCTAGAGGTTAAGATCAATATGTGGAATTTCAAGTTGAGTAAAAAGAATAGTTTTGAATTTCTAATGGTGGGGTACCTCTTCTAATTTTCTAAGACTATTCAATAGGAAAGTCCTATGGCTAGACCTAGGCTACTAAAGAAGTTTTCTAGACCTCAATCAAAAGTGAGGTCAACAAACCTTTTCGAGTTGTTGCCACCACGACATGCCCATTCCTTTGGGTAACTGTCGCTCTGGCATACCCTCTTCGACCCCCTGTCGTCACGACATGCCCATCACTTTCCGAGTTATTGTCGTCACGGTATACTCTTTGTCACCACTAGTGTGATTTTAATAGCTTATATTTGCATTCACACGCTTGCATTGCTAGTGAGCACGACTCGTCCGAAGAGTGACTCTCGTGTCCGTCACAATGCCTTAACAAACATTGCTCGTCAGGTTGATCCCAAGAAGCAATGCGAGTTAAGTCATCGGGATTAACATAAGTGTGATTGTGCTAAGGATCCAAGGGATCTAACTCGTGTCACCCTTGCATGTTACGGGTATGCATTTAATGGTCCTTAATTTATTTTTATTATATATATATATATATATATACATAAATATATTTAAGTTTTGAGGATATATATATATATATATATATTCTACTTATTACATTTGTCATATTTTAACTTATGTGTACAACAAACTAGGCCATATGTGAGGCCAAATCTTTAAAAATGCATTTTTGGGTGACACCCATTAGATCCTTTGGATCTTATGGGTGGGCTCAGTATGGCAACCCCATCAAAATCATGCTACATCTAGAGACTTACCATGCACTTAGTTGTTGGTTAGGACATTTTTTGTTAAATGGTGTTCTAGGCTAAGGTTTAGGATGCTAGGTAGTCTTTTTGATGTCTCTTGTTATTATTTTGTGAAGTCACTTTTCTTACTCTTGCGCTAGCCACACATCACCTTTTTTGCACTTTTGGTGTACTTGCATGCTTATCGTGCATGATAGTATATTAGGATGGTCTTCTGCAGGGTGTCATGCCTATATGTACACATACACAGGTGGTAATAAGGGAGAGCCTGTAATGATTTCTAACCCTTTGCTTGCAAATGCCTTTAGCTCCCCCAACTTTAAGGCATGACCTATTTTGAATTGCATGTTGTTCCTCGCTAACACTTGTTTTATACAAGTCAAGTATTTATTTTCTTTTTCAATGTATTTGATAGACTCCTTAGGCTGAGTCTGTATCAGAAATAAGGTATGACCAAGGGTTTCAAGATAGATGACTCATCAAACCATGTGATAGAGACTAGGAGCAGTAGCTCGTGTCATGTACCTTGAGTCTGAATTTTACATTGTTGCATAAACTTAGGTCTGGGCGTATATATGCAAAGTTCGATCGCTCTTACTGCTTTTTTGGGAAATATCGTTGACCCAGCAACGTTTTTGGGTTCTTTTATATTTATTTTGTGTGCTTGAGTGTTGTTTTTATGCTGCTTCTTTCTGCAATCAGGAATCTCACAAAAAATGCAATCTAGGCTCATTAAGGGCCCTAAAATTAAAATTCTTTATAATTAAAAAAAATTCTGATAAAATATTGAGATAAATCAACATTTAGGGTTAAAAGATTCAGGACATTTCAAAACTTGTTTTTACTTTAAGCCTGTACTTCGGGCAATATTTAAAACGAGCTGCATTGCATGACTATAACACAAGTCATATTAATAGAGCATCTACAAAACTTAAGAATCACTCTAAGTAATTACATTCATTTTTGCATGTCATGAGGAGCAGTCCATGTGCTTCTCCAACCCGACTAGCCCAGCATATCTTTTTATATATAGGTGATTGTCTTGTGTGCCTAGGGTGTTAGAAGGCTTCCTGACTAGACGAGGTGTAAGTCATTTTGTTTGGAGCATTTCCAGCTTTGTGGCTGAACCTCTCTTGCTCTTCTTTCCTGAGGCATCCTCGCCACTTTGACAGGTGTAAGTCCAACCTCTTGGAGCTCCAGCCGATAGTCATAAGATATAATTTTCTTCCTTTGACCTTAGAGCTAATGAGGTTCTCGTGGACAACACAATTCGTAGATAGCTTAACGGGGATCTCAGGATGTGTTGGGTCGACTACCTTCACGAATGGGTAGACTTAGGGTCCTAGTAGCTGTGTATGACAGGTGCATGGTACCCCAACCCAGCTACCTCTATCTTCTAGGATCACTCTACCATCCTTTTTTTAGCCTCTTTGAGCTCTATCGCTCTTTATTCGTTGATATTACATTAACGACCGGATACTGATGAGCTGTCGCCCGTTTGAGATATGATGATTTGTCCTCCGTGCTTTGATGTGTTGGGATATCTTCATTAAGATGATTTAGGTTATTTTGTGGGCTCTGTATACTAATGAGTCGCTACCCATCTGCGATGTGAGAGATTCACTCTCTGCCCGATGGCTTAGCGAGAGCTTCAATGCATCGGGACTTTAACACACAGAATAACCTTCCTTTGATGACCTATTGTCAGAGGTCAATGATAATATAAGTGAAACTCATTTTATCGAGAGTATTGTTGGGTATCCCCCAAGATGTAATTAACCAGTAGGAATATGTTCCCCAAGGAGTGCTCTTGACCCCAAAATAGATACATGCATTTGACTCTTTGGTTATGTGTAGTCTATGTAAATACTTCTTTTACAGATATTGATCCAAGGTTCCTCCACCCTATCTTTTTTGGACGGACTTACAAGGTTTATCGCACTTAGATTCTCCACGTTTTTTTTTCTCATGTTTGTCTCTTTGTCGCGTGTCTTTACTTATTTAATTATTCTCCTCTTTGAATCACTGATATGATTTGGAAGAGAGATTTATTTAAATAAAGGAAGTATACGACGATCGACAAGCTGAAGACTCCTTTTAAAATAAAAAAAGAAAAAAGAACAAAAACATAATCTACAATTTAAATCATTTTAAGATGACAAGAATATAATAATGGCGGTGTCAGTTGTGTGGAGAAGGTTTTCCAACCTAACTTTCTAATTTTTTTTCTAAAGAGGTCTACAATGATTCATTAAATACATGAAATGAGTGCAAACAAAAATAAAGTATGATTTAAGTGCAGACAGTAAAAAAGGAAGATCATATGTGTAATTAGATATGACATGAAAGAAGAATTAAACATATCCAATAGAAATGAAGCGTAAAAGTGTTGGACAGTGTGTCATGACATTTCCAAATGGATTGTGATAAGATAAAAAATATATAAATTATGGGGTGAAAATTTTATATTTTTATCATTCAAAATTGTAAGAACGGTCATAATTGATAAAAATAGTTACTATTACACTATAATTTTGAAATGTTAACAACACATACTTAATTCAAAGTTATCATACATCATTGCTCATCAACAAAAAATGTAATTTAGAATAATGTATAGTCCTCGCATGTATTAAGTGGGTTGAAAATACCAATAGTTAATAAAACTTAATTATTTTGTGAATAATATTGTTTTAAATAAGGGTGTGTTTGGGGCAGCTGTAGCTTATTGAATAATCTGTTGATAAGCTAGGTGCGGTGGATATTACAATTTTTTTATTTTTTTGGAAAAGTCAGACCGTTGTCAATAAGCTCCCACCGCATCTAGATAGGTGCAGTGTGAAAACGTTGTTTTCTGCGTTTTGAAAACACATAAGCTACCAAAACGCAGTTCACCCAGACAGGTCAGGTGCGTTTTCAAAATGCCGCCGCACCAAATAAGCTGCCCCAAACGGGCCCTTAGTCTTTCATCCACTAAGGCTGTTTTTATCTCTAAGCGCTATACTATCTGAATAGTCCACAGATTTGTGTGCTTAAATGGTTTGTTGTACCATCTTTTTAAACTTCACTATACATTCTCTTCTATCCTTTGGTAATATGAATAAAGGAAAACATGTGATTTTCTTAATTTCGTCTTCAAGTATTTATAGTAGAAAGACTTTGTTTTGCTAAAACAAGAGAAGATGCAATACCTGCCTTTGAAGACTAGATGTTTCTTGACCTTGCAATAACATAAAGCACGATTTAAAAAATCGGATCAGATCGACTAGTCCAATTGGTCCAACCATAAATCAATTTTCTAACCTATAGATTATAATTTTAGCACCACTTTCGCATAAAGAACCATCATTACTAGGGGTCCAATTAATGAACCAGATTGATTTGAATAATCTAAAAATACTTTAATGCATAAAAAAGTACTCTTTTTATATTGATTCAACAAAACAAATTTATTTTTAAGGTCACACTAATTCATTATGCACTTTTGCTTTATATTATTTAATTTAAAATTATGTTGGGAGCATTTACATGCACATCACCAAATTCGTATGTATTTACATATGTAATACTTAAACCATAACTTTTACATCTATACCAACAAAATCTTTCATATCATATAAAAAACATTACCCTTTAACTTTTTAAAAGTGGAATACACATTGTCATACATACGTAAGGCGGTATATATATATATATATATATATATATATA